AAAAGCTAAATCCTCTATTTCCATATAGAAGGCCATATATAACACCTAAAACTGAAAAACCAAGGGACAGACACATAAATCTATGACTTGGAAGAGTCCAAATGCTAGAAGACACATTTTTGAAATGCTTGGATTTTGTATAATACATATTTAATATCTCTGTAATCTGAAAAATGGATAGGGAAGGAAAATTTTCAGAGGCAAATTTCATAGATCTATCTTAAAGAATGTTTGTGCACCCTTAAGATAAATTCTTGGGAAATCTTGGGAAGCTATTTAAAATGATTAACTAGTTTCTGAAATGCAATTGGCCCAGTGAAAAATAACCAACAAGGTGGCCTGAATATTAGCTCTTCCCAGACAACCAAGACTTGAGCAGATGGTCAGGCTGAATGGCGGCCCCCAATTCTACAGATTCTGGGGTGGAGGTTAGGGTGTCTCTGTCCACTCCAGACCCTGCAGGGGCTTCCTATTACCCATGATCCCTGAGTAAAAAGTCTGGGAAGGGATGTCCACCACATGGCACCTTCCCACACCAACAGGACACCTACAGACACATGGTACATGGGTGCACCTGGAGGGCTCTCGGTCAGACTGCGTGAGAACTGGGGAAGGCCACATGGTATGGACCAACAGAGACAAGAACCTCAGTACAAGCATCACTCAACACTCTTAACGTGTCAGAGCCAGAGACCCCTGGGGTGGATTTAGGCAGAAGAGAGAAAATGAAAGGAACACAGGGGGTCTCGCTGTTCTGTGGGGAGGAACCCATTTGTATTACCCCAGTTTTCAGGTGGGAGAAGGGATAAGGTGCCAAAGGGGTGTGTGTGGGGTGGCAAGGCCTACAGGAACGAGTGGAGAAGACGAGCCCTCAGGTTCAAATGTCAGAGGCTCCTGGGTCAATCAGGATGATTGAGGCGGATGATCTGAGCATTGGTGCCCAGATCCAAGCACTCGGCAGAAGCCTTTTTCTATATGGTAATTTGTGTTTATTTTTCGAGTAAGCTGAACTATTTTCCACAGCTCTGCACCACTTTACAATCCATCAGTAATGTAGCCATTGGATGAAGGAGGATCTGTCAGAAAAAAATGAGAGTATTTCTAACGTAGATCCAATAACCTCAAAACTCACATCTCTAACATTACAAAACATAAATAGTCAGGGCCAAATTTTATCTAGCAACAAAGTAGTACTATACTTGAAGAGCATGATTAGAACCAGCTAGGATTCTGAAGTCAGTCGCTTTGGTTTTACTCTATATAATGTACTGCTAACCTTTGCCAAATTTCACAAGTTACTTTCATTTTTGATCTCCACAATGGAGAAATCAAGAAAAAAAAAAAAGCCTTCTTAAAGAAACAGCTTCTTGTATCTTGCCCTTAAGAACAAAAACGAGTTACTCTCTGTATGCAGTACGTTTTCTCTTTAACTTCAGCAGTTTCTTGAAACTCTAGCTCTAAAGAGCATTTTTCAGACTGATGCCAGTTCTGGTAAAACCTAGAAAATGATTAACCACTGTATTCTTTCCTAAAAACACTTCCTTGCACAGTGATAAAAGGTCAAAACGATGCTAAAGATAGTAGCATTTACTTTAAAGAGAGTTCATTCATTTTCTGGGTGGAGTACTTAAGGGCAGGGGGTAATAAAACAACCAAACCAAAACAAAAACCCACCCACCCTAAGAAACAGCCTGCAAAGTGAAAATGGGAACAGAAAGGAGTGCGGGTGTGGTGGGAGGCAGGGCTGTGCCCCTTATCAGGAAGAAGGTTCCAACAGGTAGCAGCCACCACTGCCACCTTGGAACAGAGGGGCTGAGGGGGAGGGGAGGCTGGGAGGAGCCAGATCTACACTGAGATCTCTGAGCTGCCACGATTCCGCTGGCCAATGGGAACGGGCAAGACGAAGGCGCACCAAATTAGGAAAGTCAACACAGGGTGGGGCGGGGCTCGGGGAGGCGACATCCACTCCTTAGGAATCACCCACTCCTTCCTCTGATCCCTCTGGGAGCTCAGCAAAGAGGAGGAGGGAAGAAAGGGGGCAGGGCATGTTTGTAAACATGCGGGCTCCACCCTTAAACAGAAACTCAAACTGAAAAGCATCTTGGCAAGCAAAACCTCAAGGGCCTCTGAGGTTTTTAAAGACGAGGTAGAATTCCACAGCGCTAAGACAAACGGATGTAAACAGAGATCCTTTTAGGGTAACACTTAAGGGCCAACAAGTGAAGGAGCCAGACCTGCAGTTACTACTAAAGGAACACACCTGTCTGGTGGACAGAGTGCAGTCCCCTCTCCAACACACACACACACACACACACACACACACACACACACACACACGGAATGTGGGTAAACAAGACCCAGCCCCCACCTCTCACTCAGTGAGGGGGTAAGAAGCAGTCCCCACCTCTCACTCAGTGAGCTACTCTAACCCAGGGCTCACAAGCTTTTACTGGGCCATTAGCCTGACTTCTCTGACAGCTCCAGGCAACATGGGCTTCATTTGCTTAGTAAAAAAATATCTTCTCTTAACTCCTTTTACAAACCACTGCCTCCCTGCTTACACAAAAGCAACTTTAATCTGCAAAGCTATAACCATCACTCCTATTTTTATTTGAACTATTACTGAGAATTATTTGTGTTCTATTAAGCCCTGCAGGTACAAATCCAGACATTTTTCTTTCTTATACAGCCTTTATTTGGCTGGATTATAAATGGATTGTTAATGCCCACTCCAGTCAGGCTGAGCTGTAAGCCTGTCCCTTCCTCACAAGTGCGTGAATGATGCCTGACTTGATTTTCCCTGGACAGGAAGGCCCACCTGGGCTACAGCGAGGGACAGGCCTCCTTCAGTTCACTGCGTGAACTGGCTGCGGCTACCGTCTTGACATCTGCTTTAATACTATATAAATTAGACTTAAGTACATGGAAGGCTTTTAAGAGCTTCACTGAGATATAATTCACACACTACAGTTGTGTAAATTCAGTGGATGTTAGTGTAACCATCATCATTATTTAATTTCAAAACATCCTCTCATAAAGCTATAAGGATTAAGCAGAATGATGCATGTATAGTGCTGAAGCACGGGGCCGGGCACATATTAGGAGTCCAGTAAATTACTCATCATCATCATCATCGCAGAGAAATATGAAATTAGAGTGCTGGCTCTACAGATGGGGAAAACAGGACTCAATGAGGCTGACGACCTGCCCAGAGCTACACAACTAACCCTATACACGATCAGGACCAATTCAGCTCGAGACTTGACTCTGAGCCTTGCCATGGCCCAATGCTGCCCCTGAATTTTTCTTTCTATAAGAGGGAGATTCAGCCACTTGCTAGCTCTGGGAAAAAGGAAACCCAACTCCAGGCAACACAAATGCAAATGGTCCCCAACATGTAACTGCTTTTCATGGTAAGAAAACAAATGCTTAAGAAAAACACTGATTATGACAAAGCTGGGTAGAAGAATTCAACTCCCAAATAGTATGACAAAGACAAATTGAAACGTAATTCTAAGTGTGAGTCTTTAAAAGGTGTGAGGAAGAGCAGGGAGTACCAGGGTGGGGCTGGACAGCAAGGGTAGAGACTAGCCTGGTATAGGGCTGCAGGGACAGCAGAACCAGGGCTGTCACAGCAGTGGACTGGGGTTCACGGTTCTCTGGAGCCCCTGGGAGCTTTCGGGGGTATGTGAGGCCAACACTATTTTCATATTACCGAGACATACTCTGCCTTTCCCACAGGGTCAACCTTTGCTGATTAAGCAGAAGCCATGGTAGTAACTGCTATTGGCTTGGCAGGAACATCGGTACTGGAACCAAATGCCCCAGCAGGAACCATAGCACCGGCACCAAACTGCAGGTGGCTACCATGTCTACAGGGCCACACCCATGCTGTCATGCAGGAAAAGCCAGTTTCATTTTTAAATGTCCATGATGAAGCAGTAAAACACTTTCAAATTTATTTCACTTACTTTTTTAATTGACAGAGGGCATGTGTGCTCCCCAGAGACAGAGAGATGGGTAGGGAGAGCAGGTAAGCATTCCCCAATGGGAATCCTTTCTCCTTTTCTCCATCCTGTGGGGATTTGAGGCATGTGGGTGTTTTTTCAAGCTGCTGGGCTGGGGCTTGGGCCAGGATCTGAACCATAGTTGCCCATGTGGGATCCAGCTTCCTTAACCACTAGGCTACGAGGTTGGTCCAACACTTTCAAATATATTAAATCTTGAGCCTTGAGCACATATCCTTTTAGTATCCCACCTGACGAGATGGGGAACATGCATGAAACCCTGTACTGTGTCCTGAAGTGTAACAGTTGTCACCAGGGAAGAACCTATGTGACCTAACTGAGGTTCAAATAATCACTCTCAGATGGAGTTCTATTTACACTTACTACCCTGCAACTTTCCCTCTGGAGTCCATCTTTGTATAATGTGCTAAGGACCAGAAAGTCTGAGGACTTTCCTTTTTTCAAAATCTTGATTTGTTTTTAGAACTTCACAAAGAAATTTCCACAAAGAAGTTTAGGAAGACAAAGTTCACTAAATTCTGGCATTCAAAGATTACTTAAATATTTCGATGTCTTAAGAAAAATCCTGCTTGTGTTTGCTTTAACAGGCCATAATATAAAGGGTCTTTGAAAAGTTCATAGAAACTGTATATTAAAAAAAGAGTTGTGCATGGATTTCAAGGAAATTTTTTACATCAAAATTAACTTGCACTTTAATTCTATTTTGCCATGCATATTTTAAAGTCCTTGGAATATGAAATTTCAATCGGAAAGGAGATTAATTAGGCAGTGATTCTTCACTTCATAAGGTTAATTCGCCAGAGATGTTCTATCTGTCGTCAGGCCATCTGATGCAGTTAAAACAGTTTCTGAATAGCCATGCACATGCACTTTTCCAGGAAGACATCTAAACTAATAATGAACAGAACAAGGCACATCTGTATCATTTTCCTTTTTCTCAATGGCTGAGGACGGCCTAGAATGGCCACTTACCTAATCGTGCCGGTTGGGGAAGGGACAGGGCTGACCATGCTCCGGAGATCCGGCTCCGGAATGTGGATCTTTAGAGGAGAAATCTGAGGGTAGAGTGGCCGGAGGGGAGATGCCGGAGCTTCTTCTTTATGGTACAATGATGTGAACTGGATCTTTATGGCTGTGCTGGGGAATCGGAAAGTGCACCTACAATGGGAAAGACAGCAGTGTATCAGATACAGGAGAGAAGAAAGCCCAAACCCAGGAAGAGCAAACCCCTACACAGCTGTAATGTCATGTACATGACTTTCATGATCATTCTCTGGCTCTTATCTGTGCCCAAAACAGTATGTTCTCTGCTTTTATTAGGAGACTTATGACACAAATTTAGGCTTATTCTGACACCAGCTGTCTTTGTACTATGCATATGAACAGAGAGATATAAATATCCCCAGACAAATGCCAATGACACCATCTTTCATGGAGGCTCCAGATAAGCTACTTCCTGTCTACGTTGGCAGGTGCTATAATGCCCAGGTAGGACTCACTTGCTTGCAAAGAACTTCAGTGGAAACCTGAGATAACAGTCACAATTTACAGGGAGATTTTAAGGACAGGCTCTTTCACCTGAAAGGTATAAGACACCTGCTGCACTACGACGGAGCAATGCTACGCACAAACACACTGCTAGGAGGCTCAGTGAGTAATAAGCATTTGGAACCCAGAGTTTAATGAACAAGTTTCACAATTAGTTCTGGGTTTAACAACCACCAGTCTTTTTTTTTTTTTTTTTTTAATTTGTTAGAGGGAGCATGCATTCACCGGGCAAACTGTGTGTGTGTGTGTGTGTGTGTCTGTGTCTGTGTGTTGGGGAGAGGGGGGTGTCAGAAAGCATTCCTTAGGGATGGCCATGCCACAATCTCTTCTCCTTTCAGAATGTTGAGCACATACGCACATGTACCTGGGCTATTTTTCAAGCCACTGAGTCTGGATTCAACTGCACCATGCCATCAGCCATGTGGGATCCAGTGCCTTATCTACCATGCCATGGCTTAGCCTGAGCCTTGGTTTTTCTAGTGGAGACAACCATATGCAGACAAATCCAACACTGGCAGCAGTATAAGTGGCCTTAGCTATCAGTTGATACCAAGGAGCTTAGAGAAAGAGGGGAATAATATTCAAGGCTCATCTGTATCTAAGAAACTTCTACCTCTAATTGATATGTTTCATGTTCATTTAATATGCCCACTGTACATTTTATTTATCAAAGTTGTATAGCATGTGACTCTATCAGCTTTTAGGATTCTCAAGAACATTATTCTTTTGTTGCACGTACTATATGTTTAGAGGCCACTAGTTATATACTCAAGATGGTTTTACTGTGCCTTACACAAAGAGAAGCTACGCAGAATGTATACCATGGGGTGGGGTAACAGTCTTTACTGCACTGTTAGGTGATGGCACACAGAGCATGCCCCAGAACATTTCTATGCTTAATTACCCAACCAAAGAGATCTAGAGTATGCATGTTGTACTGTAATCGGGATTTATGCCTGGATAATTAAGTGTTTTGTTTTCTGAAATGATGTGAACTTATTTTCCTAAACACTATGCTACATAAACTTTATTAAAAGAAAAAAAAAAAGAAAGAAACTTCTACCTCTTTGGGTTCAGGTTGGTAACTGGTAAGTTACCAGCTAACCAGTTGCTAACTGCAGGACTGAGTTAAAACAAAACAAAACCAATTAAAGCAGGCTGCCACATGGAGACAAAGCAAAACCGGCTACTACCTATGACAACTGTTTACAAAAGCTCTTTGTAATAATAAATGGGGGTATAAGAAGAAGGTATAGAAATGTCCATCTATAATTCACTTGTGATGCTGTAGAGGCATTCAGTTCATGTTAAGTGATCCAACTTGAGAAACGTGAAGGCCTGTTGTAGTATAACTCACATGAACCTTCTGGCAGCAGCTGCCTGGTCTACTCCTGACTGTTTCTAAATCTGTAGCAATGTTTAAATAGTAAATCTACCTCAAATCTTATGTGGACTGAGCAAACAATCCTTTCATCTGAAAGATCCTTTTGCTCTTAGTAAAACAGTTTTTTTAAAAAATAGGATTTAACATAGGTCAAAATATATTGAGTGCAGGCCAGCCTTGGAGACTAGTGGTTAAAGGAGCTGGATCTGACACAACTGACCTGCTTCAAATCCTGCCCCTGGCAACTTGAAGAACATGCTGGATCACAGGCAGAAGTGTGCCCAAAGTTCCAACAGGATGCAGAGGAGGAGAAAGGCATGACCATATCCCACTGGGGAATGCTGAACCTCTCCTTCTCTTTGTTTATCTCTGGCAAGAGCGTGTGCCCTTTGGCAATTAAAAAATATATATATGTTCTGCAGTCATGAAGGTAATAGGCACCTCTATCAGATGACAGTGGTCCTCTTGCCTGAGGGGGACCGCACCTAGGGACTCCCTTCAAAGGAAATGAGTCAGCATTGCGCATATTGCCCTTTCCCAGGTCTGCAACTATGGCCAGGCCTCCCTTAGCTAATGCAGAAACGGAGACTGGCTTGACAGGCAGTGCAGATTCTTCCAGAAACAGTGAGTAGGGGCTGGACTTCCCCATGAAGGCAGGCTTGGTGGCTGAAGTGTTGAGCACAAGGACACTACCTGTCCAGTAGTGGCAAGGTCCATATTCCAAAGCACAAAATCAGAAAAAAGTATCTGATAGTGTTTCCAGGAGTAAGATGCATTCTAGAGACACAGCCTGGACACTGAAATGCTGGGAAGGGTGGGTGGTCTGTAATGTGTGGCCCACATTACCCTGGGGTTTCTCTTGAAGGACAATCCAAGACTATTTAAAATGTTCTTTGACATCTCCTCTTAAGTCACATTTAAAGGAACATGCAATGTCATTTCTACTTTTGGTTTCTCCACTGCCCAGTGGAAATTTTCTCTCTCAGTACGTTGGCTACAAAGGTACATCTGTAGCCCATCCTCCTAAGGTGTTCCCTGAAGCCTGTGGGCTTTTTGGTCCTGGAGACCCGTCAGCTTTTGTAAGCCACAGAACCAACTTCACCTAAGCTCAAGTGTCTGAGGATGGCTGGGTATTCCTGAACTGAAGAAGGTAGGTCTGGAGCTGGGAATCAGGCTGAGGGCCCCAGACAGGTGAGCTAAGTTGGGCTAAAGTGAACTCCACCAAGTGAACAGAGCACATGGGGCACACGCACACACACACACACACACCTGTTCTACCAATGTTAGGCGGAAAGGCAATAGTGATGACAGATACTTGAAGGTAGTTCCTATGGCCCTTTACCATTTGTCTCTTCTCCCCAATTCCCTCAACTGCTGCACGTTCACAAACGAGCTAGATTTTACTATGCTCCACAAGGGCTCACGGTTAGCGAACACTTCTATAACAATATGAGATCATATCACACTAGAACCATCAAGGCTGAACAGAAAGAGGATGTGGCTTCTGGCCCACGAGTTCACAGGCAGGAGGGATACTAAGAGGGCAGAGTTTAGACACAGAGACAGGAATAGGCACGTGGTCAGAGAGAAGCACTACCCAGGAGATCTGGAAACCGGGGTCCTGCCAGAGCCGACTGGACCTGAGCTTTTTACTCTCCAGAAAGGTAAAACGGTCTTTCCGGACTACCCTTCCCTTTACTCCTTGGCTTGACTTCTCCTTGCCCCCCCAGTCAGGCTGGGCTGAGACCCGGCGCACGAGTGAGTCTGAGCGTTAGGTGTGGGGATGCGGCACACAGGTGAATAGCACCAAAGATATCGGTTTGGCACCACTCGACCTCACCTCTGCATTTCCGTTTCCTTCACTAACAAGATGGGGGAGGGGTGTTGAATAGAAGAGATCATCTCTAAGGTGCTTTCCAATTAAAAAAACGAAGATTCTAGATAATACATGCATGTAGATGAGTTTTTAGTAAAATGAGACACCACAGGGATTGTGGTGTGTCAGTAATAGCAAAATATTGGGTTGTCGGGCAAGTCATGACACATTTTTGCATAGTAAAACACGTCATGACTTTCCTGTCAACCTAATATAATACCATTTATAACTGAAATTAGCAGGACAATTTCCTACTGTCGTAATAGTTTTCCAATTAAGATTCAACAATAAACATTTTCATATTATCTGCTCTAACAACTATTTTAAAGACATGTCCTGACTCATCCTTCCAAAAATTATCCTGAGGCAGGCTATCTCCTAGCTCAGAAGAAGGAGGAAATACTCAGAAGATGCTGCTTAGCTTTAAATGGATGTCTCCCAGCGTACTCCTGGAGCGTGCAATCACGCCTCTCCCTGTAACGTTTTCAGTCAGGTTTAGGGTCTTCCACCGGAGGTCTGACTAAGGAGCAGATTTTGTAAGTAAAGTACTTTCATGAAGATGCTGCATATTCAGTCTGAAACCTAGCCACACACATTACTTATATCAACTGTCAGAAATTCCTG